ACTATATACAATTCGCTAAGTATGTCTGTGTGTGTGTGTGTGTATGTTTGTCACGAAATTCATAGCTCGGGTCACAGCAACGATAGCGCCATGGTTCTTACATATGTTATAGGGGGTGGGATGGGGACACAAGTGGTACGTGATAGGAACTGATAACGACTGATAATAGCTGATAAGAGGGGCTAGAAATTCGTTTTGTCGTTCATATTGGTACTAGAGCGTCTATACTTACAAGTGTTATGTGGGGTGGTCCCGGGACATTGGTGGTACATGATGAAAGCGATAGCAACTGATAAGGGCTGATAAGGGCGTCAGAACGCAAAAGTCGTCGATTCCGTTACCTGGCTCGCGTTGACACCAGAGCAACCATACTTACAAGTGTTATGTGGGGTGGGACGGGGACATTGTTGGTGGGTGATTGAAAGTGATAACAACTGATAAGGCTGATAAGGCGCGTCAGAACGCAAAAGTCGTCGATTCCGTTACCTGGCTCGCGTTGACACCAGAGCAACCATACTTACAAGTGTTATGTGGGGTGGGACGGGGACATTGTTGGTGGGTGATAAAGTGATACAACTGATAAAGGCTGATAAGGCGCGTCAAAAGTCGTCGATTCCGTTTGCGCTGACACTAGAGCGTCCCTACTTACAAATTCTATTTGTAGTGGTACGTGCACATTGTATCATTGTATGACCAGCTTACTTAATAGCAGTCGATTGCATAAACTCAATCAAGTCTTCAGCAAATGATAAGTTTCATTTCTATCAAGAAAGCCCAAACTCATTAAACCGCTAATCCTTTCGGGGTTCTAAATAATGGTGAATGTAAATAAATGATAAGCCTTAGCTCCTCACTTATGTAAATAGGCATATTTCATTTTCATTTTGAGACTGACAGCAATCCTATTCACCGCTAAATTATCTGAATTCAAGAAGAATGCTGGATGTTTACAGTTGTGAGAAATATACCAGTTCAGCTCCAGACGTTATCACGCGTATTCTCGATGGACTTCAGCGAAACTGGGAAAGGTCTAACACATTCAATAGTGAGGTGGTTAATGGAGTACCTCATGCTGATATTCCATGGGTCCTCCAGTTTCGCTAAAGCCTGCCGTGTGATGCGCGCGATAGCGGGCGGAGCAAAACTGGTATTATAATGAACTTGCATTAATGTTGCTTATGAAGCCTAGTGCATGCATCTGTTTCAATTCTCCTACAAAAAGCTCGAAGCTGTAAGCTTGTTAGAAGCTTACACTCATGAAGGCTTACTACTTGCTAGTTGAAGATTTCTGCACACAACGTTCCTCTACACGAAACACTTTTCAAACTGCGAACAAGACGACACTGTATTCAAGAATACGTTTAGACTGCTGCTAGAAATTCTTATCCTGAAAAAGCTCATTGAAAAATCACATTTTTTCATTTAGATGTCTACTTCCCAGCAGGAATGACAGAACTTACAGCGCAACCATGTTGGCTTAAAGTACCATCACCAAAAATCTTAGAGTGTGATATTATCGAGACGCAGTGTGTGAAAGACGGTGTCTATGAAAACTTCTTACATACACAAATTTATGAACAAAGGTAAGCTCCTCTTGAAAAATGCTTGTTCGACCTCCTCTGAAATTTTAGAACAGGAGGGTGGTAGTTCGTTGTTGTCAAAATACGTAACCGTGACATAGTTTGAGAACCTCTTCATGCCTCCCTTCCCTTCTCATTGACAATTTTGAATAGTTTCTGCATTAGTCCGCCGACGAGTTCCCTCCGCAATGCGTGACACGGCCGTGAAACTTCTCTTCAATCCAAACCTTGATTCAAACATAGCCTCAATCGAAGGCCAGTGCGATGTGAATGGGAGTAGAATCCGTAGTAAATTCAAGAAAGGGTTTGATCAAGGTCGAATGCCTTACCCTTTCCTGACTTGCCTTATTTCTTCACTTGTCGAAAAGAAAGCAAAGTTGGGTTGAAAAATAGCTTTTCCCCTAGGGATTGTTTCATGTGTGCGTTGAGCTCCTCATTTGCAATTGCCTTTAAGCAAACTTCGACGGGTACAACTGATCCTCTTCAAAGGCTTTGCAGCTACTGAGAGATGCTGCTGCTCCTCTCTTTTCATGTGAATTTGCAGCCTTTTATTATATGAAATGGGAAATGCCTGCGGTTACATGAGCTCTTCACTTCTGTAAAAGCGAGAAAACCTCCGGTAAACGACAAATGCTCACCCGGAAGCAGCCTCCTTGCTACTGTGATGAATATCCTTACAATCACTTATTTTTTCTTGTCGATTCAATCAACAGCGTAACTCCGCTAGAACTGATCACAGAAAGAGACCCGTCTTCACCTCTAGACATTTTAAACATTGATCAGTAATCTTCACAACATCTTCTTGCTGCCGAGTAACTTAGTTGAGCCATTCACCTCAGTAAGGCTTGCATTTCGCCTTGTGGGCCTGCGATTTGCCTGATTCCTTGTCAAACTGTAGGAAAGAAGCATCATCAATCAGGTTCAGAATTGCACTGTCTCAGTAATTTCACCTCCTTTGTCTTGTGGGACAACCTCCACGTCGAGAGAACGTCAGAGAGATTTAGTAAACTGTCATCATCGCTTTTGTCACCGCGACATGATTTGCGGTCTAACTTCAATTATTCTCCTACTTTGGGGCTCTCATGGGAAGCTTTCGGGGCGCTCTTATCGTTCAGAGTTCAGTGTTCAATTCACCAAGCTTCGAAATTGTATTGTGCTCTTGCAGAGACGCGAAAAATTATTCCAAACACGATGTTTACATTATCATACTGGATTCGGTATCTACTTTCATGGCTAAAAGGTTTGTTTAGCTTTTGAAGAACATATCATGATTTCTAGTGCATTGCTCATTCAGGTCGCTCACAAGAACTATCAATTACCTCGAAGAGAAAATTGGTGCAGTCCAGATGGAGTTCCTAAATAAGGTTGGAGATAACAGCCGACCAAACGGATTTGCTCTTGCTTTCGGTGAGCAAAACCAAGTTTCAATGAATGCAAAACGGCACTGCAATAGCTAGCAAAAGAGCCCATATCGGTAGCTATTAGGTCGCGAACAAAGTTTTTGCGTTTTTCGACCTCGAATTACGAACGCATGTATCTCGGCTCTTTCGGAACCAGGGTCAAGCGAGGCGTCGAGGAAAATTCGGAAATACGACCCCCCCCCTCTGCCGAAGGCCGAAGTCCATGAAACAACCCTCTTTAAAAGCCGAACTATGAAAAAGTTGTTTAATTCTCCACCAAAACTGCTCATAAAAAAGCCCTGCTACCCCATCGTCCACAAAAAACTCGTTTAAAAAGTATAAAAGTGAAAAAGTCAAAGAATGATCATTAATGACGAGTCCTGTCAAACGAGCAAACGAGAAACGGAGCAAAAAACGTCAAACTAGTCACTAGAAATGGCGTACTATGACAACACCTCTTCTTTGTTTATTTCCTCCACAAGACTTACCAAATTCTAGTACTACACAGATTATGGTTCTCAATTTACACGTCCCCTTTCGCTCAAAGGAAGCCTTGTAAAAGCCTTCGCCAGCTGTGTGTTGACTGGACTTTGGCGTTGACCGTGGAGCAGCTTATTTATTAGGTCGGTCAAAAAGTATCCGCCGTTTTGACCCCCTAATTTTGAAGCACCACAACTTTGCTGAAACACAATCTTTTTGTTCGAAATAAAAACTGCTATGTCCAGCAGATTGTTCTCAATCAGACCCATGCTAAGAAATTCCCTTCCTATAGATCTTTAATTTATTATAGGCTAAAAGCTGTAGGAAGGCGCATTTGACATGCCTCAGTTCTCAACGCGATTTCTCCTCCAAGAACTATGTTGAAAAGCGGGGAATTGGTGGTTCGTGAAAGATGTACCTGAGCTATATAAAGGATAGCAAAAGAACTTCTGAGCCATTTCTGAATGGATTTCTACAGAGCGTATTTTGCGGTGGGCGATTTAGCGCTATCGTGGTGAAGGACTGGACCTCATTTTTTCCTTGAAGCAGACTATCATCCCCGTAGTTTCTTATGTTTTATGTTCTACTCTTTACGACAGGACTCGGCCGTCGTCGAATGAGTCAATTCTCGGACTTTGAAATGAGCTAGGCCATCGAAAATTGAGGAAAATCCTTATTGGAGGCGCTCCAGGTTTTGCAGCGTTCCAAGGCAGCTTGGTTTCGTCCACATATTTGGTAACCCTTTCACTGTTAGCGTGCAGAAGCATAGTCTTACCCCACACTATTACCCATCTTGAAAACTGTTCCTTTACTGTTGCAAGGAAGAGTCCAAGCACACACCTCCACGCGCGTCGCAACTGCTAAAGCTGCCAGCACGGGTTACTCCGGTGAATAGATTGACGACATTTTTCCTGCTTTCTCACAGCGTCCACCAGGCTGAGTTCGGTGCCTTTAGAGACCCAACCTCTAATACCACACCTGTAGTTGGGTATCAGTGATAAGCTTCTTTCATTTCTTTTTTACAATCCCGTACATTGAGGGCACTCCTTATACTACGCGCATCACTTTCGAGCTTTATTTCTCCAGGCCCAAGCCTGCCGAGCTAATCTTGCGCTATGCGTTTCCTAGCAGCACTCCTTCTCAATGCAGTCCCATATTACAAGCTGGTCCTGGTGTGTGCTATTCCAAGTTTGAAGACATGAAGTGGCAACAATCGAAAATCACGATTTTGCTTATCCTAAAAAGGAGGGTAAAACGACAAATGTTCTCGGAATCACCTCGAACCTTCGTATGAATATGAAAGGGCTGATCTTCCTTATAAGATGACACCCAAGTTGTTTGAATAGTTGCGAAAGAAACTATCAAAAAATGCAGGGGAGCTTAATGAGTTGACTGGACTTTGGCGTTGACCGTGGAGCAGCTTATTTACTATTGAAATTTGAACAAATATTCAAATGATTATAACTTTCTTCAAAGTTAACGAATTTTCAATCTGAAAGCTGATTTGGGAGTTTTGTGAAGAGCTTTTTCTAATCAGTACTGAAATTACAGGAAGTTATAAGAAATAACAAATTTAGATCAAATAACGAGGAAAATTCGAGACGAGCACGAGTTTTTTTTAAACCTCCGCGGCAGGTGAGTAATGCTTTCATTCCGTAAATTTCAAAAGCTGAGTCCTCAATACAATCTAGATAGATGTTTCTCTATAACTTCGTATAATGTAGCTTACTAAGTTGGCCACGTTGAGGATTTTTGCAAAATTAACGAGGAAAATTCGTGATGAGTGCGAGTTTTTACGCTTTCCAAAGCCATAACTCCGTTCAAACTCATGCAATCTGGAAAGTTAATACGTCATCATAAACTAGAAGATTTGCTCTTTCTATAGGCAACTAAAACTGCTAAATACGTTCACTATTTAAAAAATGGCCACGTTGAGGATTTTTGCCCGAGTACCGCCGAAAGGTACTTTTTCGCTACATTAGCACTATCCCAACGACTATAGCTCCTTGCAGGAGCGATTACATACTGAAGTAGGAGCAGATTCAAAATCCTCGTGCTTTTCTCTCTGCAAAAAGTGTAAAATTGTTTAGCGGGTCTCAACTTTAAAGGTTACATGCTTGTGAATTTGACGCTGAAGGCTGCGTTTCTTGTTGAATAGTGTACTCCTCTCTGTAATTTAACAGCGTTGGCGACGATGTCGGTCAATGCTGACCGACAGGCAGTCTGTCACATGGGACGATGTCGGTCAATGGTGACCGACAGCTTGAAAGTAAGCAAACTTAGATGGAACCCGCGACTTTTTTATTTCAACGTTTACTTCAGTGTCCTAACTTACTACACTTGTCTGCGAATTATGATCTTTCTAATTTCTGGGCGTTTTTTTTCTGAGTATTGTATTGCGAATTATGATCTTTCTCACTTATGGAGTTTTTTGACTGAAGTTAGTTTATCTATGGCAGAAAGCGCTGTCAATTGAATCACAGCTACAAAAATTCCACCGTCAGCAAACTGGAAATCTCACTAAAATTGTTCATATCGACATTTACTAATTAGGTCACCGTCAGTAGAATGTCCATTTCTAGCCTTAGGTTCCCATGATGGTCAAGTAGGCTCAGTCTTACTCATAGGCAGGACAAAAGTACCTATCCAGTCCATCAACTGCCAAATATTTCACAAACAGTTTTTTTGACCTTGAAATGACTTCGTTTAAATCTCTTATTCGATCATGAAGAACAAGATAACAGTCAAACAAAAGCTCATTCCGTCAGGTACGCAAAGTTTTTTGCGTCGTTCTTGAGTGAAAAATTCGTAGAAGATTTCAGATGTGATCAGGATACCAGTACATCCATACGAAAGCTCTTATAAAGGATAAAGGATAAAGCATTTGCCGTTGATCAATCCCTTTTTGGGATGCGGCACGCATTCTACTTCCATTTGTACATTCGCAGTGGCATTTGAATGCGATGTGGCCTATACAATGACTTGCGGGGGCCAGCCGATGTTCAAGTCAGTGTTTTTATCCTCCCAGACAAGTCTGGTACCAATTAACCGACCCCGGAGGGATGGAAGGCTTGGTTGGCCCGGGCGACTCACGACCCAGGATTTGATCCCGGACCGCTCGCGTGGTGAGCGCGCCACTTGTCACTGCACCACTTCCGCCCAAAGAGTAATCAAAGTATATTATATAAAAATGAAGAACGCGTGAAATTGCGCTTCAGATCATTCTAACATGAGGTTGAGAATGCCAGGCGATGTCACTGAAATTTCACCCAGCATTCAGTAGTAACAACTTTTCCTTGTTTCTAAACGTGTCTGGAGTACTCTAGTCAAAGGCAATTTTGCATTTCGAGATTTTACAGAGCTATAAATAGATTTTGCCCTGTGTTACCGGCGCTTTGCATGCAAAAAACGTCTCGTCCCATGCGCGCGACAAGGAAAAAATCGCTCGTCGTCAACGTGTTAACATGAACTCTTTCAGAACCCTCTTGATTCTTCCTGAATTAAGATTCGTTATCAAGATAGCCGTAGCTGAAGCGCGCGCAACCAACTGGGCCCACTCTGGGATGCGCCGTGTGCTTCACATCTCGTTGGATTTGAGGACCTACTTGAAAGATAAAATATCCCTAGAAAACGTGCGAATTTCGGATCCTTTGACTTGTGTGGTGATGAAACACTAAAGTCACTAAGAATTGCTAAGCGGACACCTCTAAATCACGAAGATTTTGTGTGGACGGAATCAATTGTTATTGGAAATACTCTGGCCTGGTATCGATTCGATCCTTAATGTTTGTCCTCCGACGATGATCCTACTGTATCAATCGGGCCCGATCTCTCCCCAGCGGGCCAATACGACCCCCCCCCTCTGTGACATGTCGAGGATTCCTCAACGCACGCTTGACCCTGTTCGGAACATTTTTGACTGTAGTAGGAACTGTTCCAACACACAAACCACTGCCAATAAGGGATTTGACCAGTTGTGCGGAATACCGGAGCTCTAGAGACGATGAGTCGTTTCAGAGTTTTGAAGCATAACTCTTTGAAGAAGTTATTCGTGTCATCGAGAACGTGATGCTTTGCAAGCGAAAGGCCTAACGAGTAAGATGCTCGCACTGTTAATTCGCAGTTTTACCGGTCCAAATGGTGCAGGGTTGGTTATGCGATGTGCGTCCGAGCCAACTGTCAGAGATGAGTCGGTTTCTTTATAGTGAGGATCACTGGGCAAACGTGCCAGAGCTCTGAGAGTATTTTGCCATCTTGTCAAGAGTTTTTTTTCCCACATTAACCGATCCACCTGGTTACGAAGAAGCTAGACCAGCCGCTGACCTTATGAAAGTCACCTCAACCTTCCTTCAGTGAAGTTTCACTTTTGCAAAGTTTGTAGAGCCTGATCGCGGTCGATCCACTTCAGCAAAGGTTAGCAAGCTGTAGCAATGAATCGGCTCTTTATCCTACATCGCAAATGTAGAAGTAGAAAAAAAATGAGTAGAAAAGCAGTTGGTTTTCTCCAAAAAAAACAAGATAGTAAGCGGCGAACAACCCTTCCAAATGGTGAGTTGTCGCGGCAGGTCCTATATAAATTTTTGGAGCTTTCCAGCTCTTCCCGTGCAACGAGAAACAAGCAAAGCAACTGAGATCAGTGTAGGATGAACAGGTCCAATAGCTTTGTGCAAGCGTATTTTAACCAGACTCTTCGTCTTGGCATTGTCCAATATCTGACCAATCATCATCCTTAGCGCTCTCTCTATCCTTATAAAAGCTTTTTGCACAATTGCTTCAGAACACATTTTTGACGAATCTTTGCCAAGTGCACCTGAAATATCTTGATCCGCTTTCACTCCTTACAGGCCTGTTCAGAGCTAGAAAATTTGTTAATCGAGGATGCCGTGTTCTACGCTTTGAAAAGTGATAATCAAATGACGCAAAAGAAAGACGAACCCACTGTTGTGTAGAACATGAAAAGCTCTTCGAAACGGCGTATAGTGCGGTGACGACTTGCTTGAAGTTTGAACAAAACCAGAGATGCGCAAGAACTTTTTTCACGACCTAATATTTACAATACGAAAAACAATATCAGGCGCTTTCAACATATCGATCTCGAATGTGCTTATTGCTCTTGCTGGCAATCTACTGATCTCCAATATAAATTTTTACACGTTTCAACGCACTCAGGAATGGCAGCATGTTTATCTGAGCCCTTGTTAATGAACTGCTATCATACTAATTGCTGATTGTATTCTCTGATTTATTTGCTGGTATCCACTACGTCCTCTCTCAATGCTCTGCATGCCTTGCCTGCCGTGAAAAATGCCCAAATTTTCCAAAATTCCTCACACCTTGGGACAGCTCATACTCAACTTCCTAGCCCTTTTTTTCCTTTTTTGGTGCAGACTTGAAGTCTGCTTTTTGTTCCTTAATGGAAGAAACCGCTTAGAAGATCACTTGCTGCTCTCGAGTGATAGGAAATATTAAGGAATTTGATTCAAGCGGTCACTGCGCCAAGATGACTAAAGGAACGTTTAAGCATTTAAGTGCAATAAATTTCAATCACTAGGTATAGCCTTAGACCGTCTGTAGTGGATTCAGAGGTTCGTAAACATAGAATGTGGGCGGTCTACTAAAAACATATCATCACTAGACTAAGAATAAATGGGTCTAGAGGGAGCACTAAAGTTGAGAAGAAACTAGACTGCGCCAGGCAACATCTAGGCAACACATATATGATACTGCTAAATTATTTATGACTGCGATATCGTTCAAAGCGACAATCATATTATTAGATGGGTGAGGTAAGTTAGCTTTGAGCATGTTATTACTCCTTACTGGTTCTCTTATTGGGTGTGTAATCAGATGGATATGGAAGCACAACAGTGGATCGGATCAGAGGTCGTGTTAACTATTACGTTGTCCTGAAGGTCTTTGCCCATTTTATAGTCGTATGCCCCATCGTAATCGTCAACATGCTGCCTTTCAGCAGGTGACTTGTGGATGCCGTTTGCCTAGAAGTCCTGAGCTTTCAAGGCAAAAACTGGAGGAAGTCCGTTTTCGAGTAGTCCGGAACATAAAGCTCTCCCTCTTTTAGTTGAATCAGCAGCAACAGAAGCAGACGGTATTCTGTTGGGGCCGGATCTGCTGAACACAAATGGCGGGACAGAACATCCCATAAGGGCTTGGAGACTTTTGCTGGACCTTCTTCAAAATTCCTTGACGATCGCTGCTCGGATGAAGTGATCTTTGTAATGTTTTCTACGCATAGTGCTGGAGATCCCATCCGCTTGCCCACATTATCGAACTACAACAGCAGTGAAGTTCGTTGGTAGGAGCTGTCGGCAAACGGATCGCTTGCAGCTTTACCAACTCTGAAAGTTGCCTCTCAAGTTGCAGTGCTGGAATGGACGTCGGAATCTCTGGTTCTACGCGTCTGAGCCAGTGGCGCTCGCGGGTGTGGTTTACTTGAGGAACCCACTCCTTGCTACCACCAACAAAGTAGTCGGGTCAAACAAGATACAGACGGTAAATCAAAATGTTCATGCAAAATCTGAAGGCTTCTGAAGGCGGTTGTCACCCAGATCACGAAATCCCCTTTTTCCATAATTTCTTCTTTTTGAGGAGCTATTGAGGAATGGCTATTGTGTTCTGATAACTGTGGAAAAGCTGTGTCAGTTACCGTGCATTGCACCAGAGACTGTTTCCAAACAACTCCAGAAGACACTCGTCACTCAGGGTAACAAGCCAACCGACTTTGGGCTTTTTTCTTGAGTTTCTGGACATCGGCAACCAAATGTTTGCCATGTCGTGAAAGACACTCTGGAGGTCCATCGCAAGACGTAGGGCTCTTGCCGCATCGCTTCCACTGACGCGTTTTCTGGGTTTTAGAATCAAGAGTAGCCAAATATGCTTTCAGTCAAAGTCGATTTTCTCAGCCATAATCGCTGCGAAATACCACGGCAGAAATGCTCTGAAGAGATCATTGACTAGGGTTCACATACGTTTTACAATGGATGTTCAAAATTATCCCTGGAGATTTCACAACATACACATGGAAATGGGCAAAGACCTTTCAGGACAACCTAATATATGCATATTACCCTTTTGAGGCCACTGGCAGACGAAGCGACTTCATCGAACGTCTCATCAATGACGTTTCATTTGCCGCTTCACCTCCCACGTCCCCATTTACTAATCATATAAGTTGCGAATGTATGAAAATATTAGGAAAATGCTTATCTCTTATCTATTATTACATTTAGTTACTACACGCACTCCAATCGATCTTGCTTGTGCGCTTGCGATGTTGCTTATAGTAAAAAATTTTCATCAAGGCAGGTCAATAGAAGGCGGAAATCGTGACTTGGTCGGATTGCCACCATTGATACCTGATTGGGAAGATGCTAAGATATGTGGCCAGTACCTCGATCAGTTCTCGTACCACCTGAAGGATTACAAGGAAATGGGTTACAAAGTATGTTTTTTTTTGATTTCTTTTGAAGCTTCGCTCTATATTGATAGTTTGGCTCGATGATTGTATAGCACCATCATTTCAGCGGCAGTATGAATAAAATGTCGGAGTTTTTGGCTGCTCGAACAGAACCGCGGCTTGAGTCCTTTTATTACGATCTTCAGATTTTGACCAAGTAGTACATAGTGTTGGAGAGAATTTATAACATCTAACCAGACGGGTCAGAAAGCGCTAGAAAGCACCAAAATCACCAGACGAGTCAAAAAGGGCCAGAAAGCACCGAAACACTTAAACAAACATGGCGAACTGCGGTCAAAAACAGCTGTCAACAAACAAAAACAAGTCAAAATCAATTGCTAAAGCTTTCAGCCTCGCGGTCATTGCCGATATCGGCTAACCGGCTCAACACGTTATACGTGTGAGTGCTGAAAGCTATGGTACGTATACCATGAAAAGCTGAGTGGAATGAAATGGTGCCCCGGCAGCGGCGAAAGATGTTGGTTCGAGGCTGTCTGGGGCGGAAGTTTTGTCCACAATCCAGCATTCTTGTTGAATCTGTGAAATATCCATCAGCAAAAAAAAGAACAAATTCCTGACGTTTGTTGAATACATCGCGGTTGGTAGGCTTATGCGATTGAGAAAGTTTTGACCGCTGAAGAAAATAATGAGAGTACCTGGGGATGCAGCTGACACTTTTACGGAAACTTTGAAGGTACTCTGAGACGGTGTGATCTGTGTCGCGACCAAGACGTATCTTGAGGTTTTTCGCATCGGTGTCAAGCACCTGGCCACGAGTGAATAGCTCTATACGCTAGAACTAGATCGGTCTGTACCTTTGGGGAGACCTCATGAGATGGTTTGGAAGGTGATACCAGAGGAGATAAATACTGGTGTTCATGAGGCGGTAAGGTGTTTGCTAGAATGATGTTTGTCAAATCCGTGCAGCCATGTTCTGTTTACTGCTGTTAATCTGTGATGTGAACGTTGGATATTCTGATACGTGACAAGACGTGCGTGGAAGTTCATGATGATATCTCGCCCGTAATCGATAAACTGATGATCCTCTGAACCTTGCATTTCCCTCGAGAAAGGGTCGATGCCGTCCCTCATTGCCAGATGTTCCTAATGGGTCTGTACAAAGAGGAGCGATAAATGGTAACTGGCTCAGGGTTTCGATCAAATAGCATGTTGAACACTCGAAAAGATATAATAGCATGGAATTGTCCGACTGCAAAGAGATATCGGATCAGATGAAGGGAAAAGAAAGGTACCACGGAAAAGATGGGGTACTAAAGGGGGATAAGTAGGAAAGATAATGAAGGGAAAAAGGGCTGGAGGTGCTGTGACAAGAGCGTGGGTGTGACATAATACAAAAAAGCACGGCAATACGGGCATAAATAAAGCGTACGTATGGTAAGCCTGACGCAGTATTTAGCTTAAAATGTCAGCAAAGCAAAGCACGCGAAGTCGTACACCACACATTAGCATGTATGGTGTGCGACTTCCATTACACGGAGACGTACATGACTAAGACTCGGTGAATTGGCTCGGTTCACTGCACCACAAAGGCCCTACTAAATTCCTGCGCATCAGCTGGCACCCATATTTCCACTGGAATTGCACTTCGTCTATCCCCTCCCCTCTAAGCCGAGCTGCGTTGTTCACAGGCCGCATAGGATCGCATAAGATCGATTCGTTGGCGTAATCATGACATGCGCACAGCTAATGCGATCTGGGAGGAAACCGAAAGGACTCTTGCCATTTGATCCGACGGTAGCATCAAACTGGCATTAGCGGTAAGCAACAGAACCAGTTGTGGACAGTGAGACGGGTAACCAAGAGGGATTCAACGTCAGCGACGTTCACCGACGTTCAAAGGAGCCGCCTACGAAAAGGCCCCGTTTTGATCTTCACCAAAAATCGATACTTCAGCTCCCTTGTTCCATGATGATAGTAAAAGGAACGGAACAAAAGCGCTGATTATGATACTAATCCAGACAACTAGGGAGATTACAGGGAATTTGAAATCCCGATATAAAATTTTACAACTGGGTCCTCACATTGGACCTTCCTAGAAACTTAAATGTGACCCCACACTTGCCATGCACATCTTCACAGCAGCATTCTCGGTCATTCATTTCGTGGCAAGTAAGGTCCAACAAGTAAACATATCCACGAACTGCTTTTCTTTGGATTTAATTCTTTTCGCTCAAAATTGTGGAAATGGTCATTTATGAGTATCACATCATGCGGCGAACGAGTGAAAGGCTTTGTTTGTGATTACCTTTAGTGAAAGAAGTGAAGCTGCAACGGCTTTCAAGATTGCGGGGGCAGCAGAAGGCTTGATTTTGACAGCTGAGACTGTTTTCAACACCGATGACTGTGGCTCGATGCAACCGCATTTACACCAATACAGAAGAAGACATATGTATCAATCGAAAGAAAGAAATACGATTATCAAACAATTTAAGCAAGTAAAACCAATTCGTCGTGACCAAGATGCTCCTCAACATTTAGACTACGACTTTTTTGAAATTGTATTATCGGCGCGTTTTATGTTGTAACTGCCCTCAACAACTAGTAAGCATTTACAGAAATTTGGCTGACGTACGCTGGATTTGCCCTGGGATTTAATTCAGGGATCATGCGCGCAGTATCTGCCACCACATCATTTCAGCTCAAATGAGTATCTTTGAAATATGAATTGGCAGTTTAATCATCATCATCTGCAAAAAAAGTATTTTCACATTTCATTCGTGGAAAAAAAGCTGTTGTCCTTGGGGCCACATTACAAGTTGGGGAAAACTGCAAGCTACTTTCTATAAAAGCGCATGGGTCCCCCGGTTGCTTTTGCTCCAACGAATTTTCGTCTTCTTATACTGCTTGCAAACCTGAGTCACTATGAGAGCCTTATGATTCCACTTACACGAAATCTGAACTTTCAGAATCTTGAAGTTGGGCTCCAACTTTTTCTTATAGTCGCGTCGTCCTCTAGCTGGTTCCGGTTGATGAAATGCTCTTGTTCGCTTGCTTATATGGCAACTATGCAATAATTTAAGGGCATGCTATGTCAATTAGCGCGAATTTTGAGAGCTGGAAGATTCAAAAATTCTGACGTAATGTACCGACAGCAGTCAAAGGGGTAAGACCGACGTCATAGTCGGCGACGGACAAGCGATGGAGCGATCGCGATCGCTCCATCGCTTGTCCGTCGCTTGCCAATCGCTCTTGGTCGAGCGATTGGCAAGCGATTGCGCAATCGCTTGCAAAGTGCACAAGCGACGGGCAATGGCTCTGCTCGATCGATACCGCAGCCGACTGCATTGACTGGGGGCGGGGCCAATCGCCCGTCGCTTGTGCACATTGCGCAATCGCTTGCCAATCGCTCGACCGAGAGCGATTGGCAAGCGACGGACAAGCGATGGAGCGATCGCGATCGCTCCATCGCTTGGTCCGTCGCCGACTATTCTAGTTAACATTCGGGTAAAGCGGTCGTTATGGATGGCAAGCTGACGCTAATGAAAAAAAGAAACAAAGAAAAACGCCAGTGAAGCTCTCAACAGGTACTCCTCTGTTTTCCTGTGAAAGAAAAAAGGGGAGGGGCTGAAAACTAACTCGAACTAGCTTGCTCCCGACATTTATTGCTGGCTCCTGCTAGCAAGAAGTGCGGCTACAACGCAGTTTACACCAAACAAAATAAACATATGCATCAATCGAAAAAAAAATACGATTACACACCAATTAAGGAAGCTCAAACAAACGAAAAGCATGCCCTTATTTCTAGGGCGCACGCATAGTCGGTCGTCCGACAGCAACGGTCGCAACTGTCTGACTGTCTGACTGCATCTAATCGTCGAATACTCAGGCAAGTCCGACGATCGATACGCATCCAATGCTGTGCGACACTTGCAGTCGTTGCTGTCGTCCGACCGACTATGCGTCCGGCCTTTGCAACGCATAACAGTTCACACGCAATCGCGCGAGGACCACGCAGCCAATCACGCGCTCTTTCTGCTAGCAGGTTGGCGGTGAAATGGAATAGGTGGAAAAATGATTGCGCACAAACTCATGTTTCTCTAGCTGCTCTTAATGTGAGCTTTTATTTTTGTTCAGAGCAATTATATTCTTAAATAGAGATCATACATCGTTCCCTTCACTCCTTAGTAGCAAAATAACAGGTCCCGCTGGGGCTGCGGCTTCAGGGTTCAACTCATCGCATGTATGGCCACACAGAACGTGGATATTAAGAGAGCCTACACCTATTAGTAAAGGTTATTTCACGTCTAGAGAATGCTCCCCAGTGGCATAACCTGCACCAGGCTAACTGATGCATTCTTCCCAACAGATGTCTTCGACTACAGTATCTTTGCCAAGCGTTATCTAACAGAGATATGTACTGAATCTTGCGCATTCTAGTACAGAAAAATACTCACTATCGAAATCCTGGAGCTACGCGCGGGCACTAGCGGTGTCTCTTCCATTCAATTCGTGGGAAAGCAGCATTACTATCCATACAGTGAGAAAGTAAATGTGGCACGGTTCCCCATCGAAGCAAGCTATTATTACGATTTTGGTAGTGTGGAAAGTTACGCGCTTGTGAACAAAACCGTTCACATGCAAAATAATATAACGAATTGGTTCAGAGGAGTATGAATATACTATTAACGTTTTCTCGTCCGAATAAGGTTTTGCCTCCAATTTCCCCTTTCATTCCCCTTTATTGCCTTAAACATACAAAAATTATGAAATACAGAACTTTTCGGATGGCATGATTTGAGGTCTGGCTGAAATAATTCGGGAGGAATCCTTTTGAACTCTACTGCGATGCGATGAACAATGGCACGTCCCACGGACCCAAAAAGATTGCGTGACTGAGGGACCGGGAGAGGCAAAATGCTGGAGACCGGAGAGATGCAGACGCAATCGATGTTAATCAATTTCAGCGGAGGCATTCACAAGCTACAAGGTCTGCACACTTCAAGTAAAAATACATTGTTACTTTTGAAAACCTGTTCTTTTGTGAAAAAAAACGCGGTTTTTCCACATTTTTCTTTTTGCTTTACGCTGGGGCCATTAAAAACATCAATACTTCGTATGTTGTGGAAGAACTACAGAAGTAATCTGGCGCCTAATAACAAAATAATCAGATTACCAAAAAAAGTGCCAAAATAGAGTGCAAAGGCACAGAAAAGAAAACAAACCACGTAATATTACGTTAAACCAGTACCAGGAGTTCATAAAATGCAGTATCGAATGTATCGAGCGTCACCAAGACTGACTTTCAACAAGTGAAGCGCTTGTTTAAACACGACTTCATCTAATTATCGTTGCATGTTACTCTTTGCCTTTACTATTAGTTATAAAGCATAATACCGGTTTTTTTGCTGATGTTCTTTGTAACCTTGTCTAATTGTTCTGAATGGCACAATCGACTGATTTGCAAGCTTGCAGACCATTGACCTGCCAAACTTTGACTCGGCATGCTTTTATCCAAGTGTGTTGGTTTCAAACAGAACGAGCCGATCATATTTAGGTATTTTCTCTGTAATGCCCTATAGACACTTTGTACGCTCAACAATTCACACTTAATAAAAAATGCTATCCAACCTTCCATTACAAAAGTGTATAGCAACGTACAATTTTTAAAATATGTGCTATTCATTTCATTCCTATTTAGCGTTGTTTGACACAACTGGGACCTTACCTCTTCCATGAAATTTTAACATAAAGGCTACAAAAAGAGGCAAACCAGTATCTTGATTACAAATATGGCATTTATTTCCTAGCGGCAGAACTGTTCGGAATCAGTATGTGCCAACTTTGTGACAAAAAGAGCCCTACAGTGCTGCGAAATTGCGTAAATGTTGAAAATATGGAATGCCAATATATTGTTAGAAAAACCAGCAATAACCCTCAGAAAATAGTTTTGAGAGGAATGCTGCACAAATACCCTCTCAAATGTTAAAAATAATGCTGCCTAACATGCACATCCTACAGGGTGCGCCAAAATTACGGAGACAGCGATTTCGAGTCGCCTAGAATGAACACGCCACAATTCCAGGAAACCAAAAATGCAGTAACGTTCACTGTTCAATAATGAATCGTAAACATCTGCCAAATCTCAGAAATTCCTTCGTTGGCACTTATACGGGCCTTGAGAAGCAGTGAGGAACCATCGGCGGTGGCACGCAAGGTAGTGCTTCAGAATACGTAGAATCCGTTCTACGTATTCTGAAGCAATTCTTCAAAATAATCCCCAAAAAAATGTAAAGTTCCGTGCAAGCTTCAGCTTGCAGAATCAATTCTACAGTGTAAGCCATTTATATAGAATCTGAAATGCTGACCAACTCGTTAAAAGTGATGAATTCGACAAAATTGGCTCTGACCCAGTTCAGCACCACCCTTGCCCTATGGAAATCCCTTCCTTATGAAAGATCAAACAATGTTTTTTAAATCTTAAGATGGCAATTTGCTTGGGAATTCTCAAGTAATCTCCTTAATGTCCATCTCTCGTGACATTCGGCGGAACGAGTGCGCGAAGTGCCACCAAATTCTGTTGCGCACCATGCTGACATTGCTCGTGGCCGTCTCGGAAACACAGCCTTCCCATCCAGAATGAGTGCATTTGCTTCCTTACTCCTCGGAGCGTTTAGTGGATCCATGGTTGGTACCAAGGTAAAAAACAAAACGCTGATAATTCTTGCGTGCCGCAAACACTCAAAGTTGAAGTTCAGTGATCTAGAAATAGCGGCAGAATCATTCAGCCATCGTAACAATCATACATATTGGTGGTCAAACAAGATAATTATGAACAGGTCAACACAACTAAACCAAAATGAGCGCAGCAGTAAACAGCATCTTTGAATAGTGGTCCCAATAGTGCGCGGAAGTGCTGTCTCCGTAATTTTGGCGCACCCTGTACAATTGTTGACATTTATACACATCCCTTTCGCGCGGGATAATATTAGGTACCGGATATCTTAGTGTCGTTTTTTCACCGCGAGTTTCGGACCACCAATATTTTAATTCAAAATCCAGTGAGTGAAACGGCATATCCATCGAATGACTCATTAGCCCTTTCCCATTTACCAGTATGAGTGAAAACCTCGTACGATTAAAGTTAGGAATTTTTTGAGACGAAAAAGAGAGGTAGGTCGAATTTGACATCATCTGACAAATCATCCCTCTACCTTGCTAAACAGTTGGGCCTGGACAAAATATGTATACATTTAGTTAGAGTAGGGTCTGCACTGTTTGGTGGAAAATTTATTACTTACCAGCTCAACTGGACAATTTTTCCCGGAGTCTTTTTTGCCACATGGGTCAAAAACGCACCCTTTTTGAGCACACGTGAGTAGCAGATGAGCACATTTATTAGAATTTCTTGGTCAATCAACTTCGTTAGAGCGTCTGTGCACCATCGATCAGTAACTGCTAGGGTGTCCTACCATTCCAGCACAAGACTGGTGCAGCCCCGTTTTGACTGATTTAGCTAGGACCACCTTTTTGGCGACGGTTGCGGGCATCCCTTCAAAGACTTTACTGTCTTTTAAGAAAACTGTGAAAAACCGATGAGCATTTTAAATGGTAGTATTCCCTCCATCAAATGCAATGCTGGTTTGGTGGGCGGAGGTTACAGCTCTCAGCAAGAATTTTGATGCATTTGGTACACACATGCGAATTTGCACACTGGACCCAGGAATTTTCAGAAGAAAGTATAAAAATTGGGGGAAAGTTAAATTGTGAACCAACAATAGAAGACGGTAAGCAACATATTTCGCAATATTAATGAGCAAAAACTGCCTTCTGGGATATTGATTTTCCATAGTAATCGGCCCCAAAACTTCCTGAACTCAGAAAAGCGACACTAAGATATCCTTTACTAATAGTTGTCGGTCACTAAATACCACCACTGCGGCACATTTTCTTCCGAATACTGCGGAGAGGAAGAGAACGGCTGATGTCATAGTTTGCAAATCGAGCGATTCGCTAGAGAGTGACTATGACATCGGACGCTGGATCCGAGCATTGCGACAGCGAATCGAACGTTGCACCAGCGAGTCGAACTATGTACCAGCGAATCGAACGATGTACGGGTGGCGGTACTTAGTTTGAAACTGAGTACGGTAGCGTAATTAGCGGATAACTGTAGAGTATGGTAGGTCACTTCGCACTTCTCCAAACTTGCCTGTGGGATGACCCCACTTAACTGCTTGCGCTGAATACTGACATTTCTGGAAAACGAAACGAAGCAAGTGGAATAACATTTCAACGCACCACTGTCTTTGAGCCAATTTTTGAGTATTGTGAAACTTTATCAATGTTGTAAAAGTATTGAAGGAAGCGAATCAAAAAATTCACATGTGTTTGAACACATGTTTAACACTAATCAATTTAAATTAGGAATTTCTTACAGCGATCTTGTGAATTAGTGCATGAACAAAATTTTCAAGGTATTTACGCTTTAGAACGGTAGTTTTTCCTTAGTGATGATCTAAGTTGCTGGTTTGCGACGGCAGCTGAGAAAACGTCCAGATACGTTAATAACAAGGCAATATAATTGTTGAAATATTTATATAGAGTAGATCATATGCATTTTTTTGTTTGCTTCTAGTTTTGTTTCCAGTAATTTATTGATATTAAAGGAATTCTCAATAGTAGCAGGACCCCACGTTCAAAGGGAGCCCGCTTTTTTTAAACAGTGTCACTTCGCTGGTGCAACGTTCGATTCGCTGGCGCAACGCTCGGATCCAGCGATTCGCTAGCGAATCGCTCGATTCGCAAACTATGACATCGGCCTTTGTTCCCTCATCGCATTTTTGAAGCTGTTTATAGAGAACAGGCATGGCTCTAATCCTGAAAATGATACCTTATAGGCCGTTTGATATTCGTCAGAAAGAGTCGTCGAATTTCAACAAGAGCTTGTGGCAGTCCTGTAGTGAACTTCACTTGGAAATGTTGGATTATACGGAGAAATTCATGCATGCCTATCCAGGTACATTTTTATATTACCTCCTTATATACACATATTACCTATCTATATGAAGTAATTTTTATTAGAGCGATGCTTCACTTACGATCGGTGTCTAGTGTCTCACAATAGCTTCAAGGTGTAAAATGAATGAAAATGAAAGGAAGCCCATTAAAAATTGAGGTAGAGGTGGTCATTGATGCAGGGATGAAGGAAGTCCTTTATAAATTCGGCCAGGATCCGATAAATGGGGGTAATTTTTGCTCGCTGATTTGCGCGTTAGGCCTGTATCATGGGTGCGGACCTCTCCCATTCAACGCAAACGGTTATCTCTGCTAGAGGCGGCTCAGTTGTAGATGGCGGCCAGTCATCGTGAAGCCAGCGGCGCGAGCAGGAAGCAGTAATGGTTCCTGTTAACACATTGGTGACGCGGTAACGCGTCCACCCAAGTCATCCCTTTTCTTGCGCTTGTGCGCGACTTATTCCTAAGGTCTTTGTACTCATTCTATAGGCCATACATTAGCATACTTAAAAACCACATGGCTCACAGAAAGGCCAAATATTCTTTAGTTTGGCAGAGGTTTTCCAGACCTTACGGATATGTCTGTTCAGTTCATTCCTCGTTTTCTTTTCATAACGTAGACATGTTGATAAAAAGGAATAATAGAAGTGAATACAAACCTATTCGTATGGGAAGATATGTGTTTTTACTGAAACAACCACGTCCAAATTAATTTTGGAACCACTAAAGGGAAATTAAGTAAAATTTCCCTTTTCATGGCCTTAACACGTCATTTCGGTCAAACTTCCATTACTGTAACTCCTGATAAGCTAGACAGATCGAACATCATTGAAAACATTTCATCGCATCTAAGTATTGCGTATTTACAACTCAAAATCCATGGATTTGGTGTGCGGCGGCTGCGCTCGCAAAATCGCTCTGGTCCCACGCGGTGCAAAAACACAAAACGCGCGATGTCGTCAACGTGTTAAACTGTTAACGCATCTCTCGCTGCAAAATGTACATTGTCTGGCACCGTTGTCAGCATGTTTGCCCTTTTCGACTCTCAACGTTGTCGTGAAATCCTCCGTTAAAGGAGCACCTGAGTTGTTAGTGGTGTCATTCGAAATCCGTGAATGCGGAGCTTACGGTCGAAGAAAGCCCACTGGAAATCAAGGTAGGGGTAACCGTGATGCGAGGTGAAGAAAAAACAATAAAAACAATCAAGAACCGAGAAATGGGATCCTTCTTTGTCCGTTGATTTGCGCGTTAGGCGTGTCTCATCAGCGCTGATGGTGAGCTCATCAACACTAACGTCTCTCCAGAGACGACTGGGGCCAGACGGCTATGGAGGATGGACAGCTCCCATAGCGGTGTGGACGGCTATGCTGGATCGCTGAAGGGGCATATCCTTTGCTGCAAATTACGCGTTGGATCACACGCCTCTTTCCAATTAGTAGGCTGCCTTTTTCAGCCCATAACCTTGTCATGGAATCCTTTTCGGAGGCGGTTTTTATGATGAAAAGCTAGCTTCTTCGAAATAAGAGACGTCCCAGAACCCAAGAAATGAGACCCTTTCCTTGGCCGTTGATTTCAGCACTTGGTGCTACTCTCATCGTTGTGCCCTCTTCGGATTGCGCTCTCTCTGCTATCCAATTCTCGCCGCCTTTAGACCTGCGGCGATGATTAGGTAGTCGGTGGGCGTTTCGGGCCAATAGCGCCAAGAGGGAAGGCCATGCTAGATCGCCGGGGCATATCCTTCGATGCGAATTGCGTGTTGGTCCGCACCCCTGGGGGGGGTCCGCCTGTCTCTAAGCTAAGTAAGTTTCCTCTTTTTAGACCCTCGCTCTTACGCAAAATCCTCAAGTAACTTTCCCTCGACAATGTTCACTCATTCATAATCGACCCCCCAGACCACGCTCCTGCCATCGTTTTTAAAAGAAAAAAGATAGATTCTGTTGGAAGCATCTTACATAAGATTTCACTATTGGAAACAAAACACATGTAATACTCTATCCAGGTTGAGATACCTTTTACCTTTATATATAATTTTGCTCCGCCTGCTATCGCGCGCATAACACGGTAGGCTTTAGAAAACTGGAGGACTTAAGGAACATCTGGTGATCTACTCCACAAAGCAGCTCACTATTGGATATGTCAGTGGAGTGACCTGAGGTTGGAGGATCTCCACTTTCATTGAAGTCCATCATACATGCGCGTGAATGCGAAGCTGAGTCGGTATATTTATCACAACTCGTAAACACCTAGCATTTTTCTTGAATCCTGACAATTTAGCGGTGATTAGGGTTTTGCTGTTAGCCTTAGAATGAAAATGAAATATGCTCCTTATAAAAAGTGAGATCTGATGCTTATCTTTGCATTCACACTTCGCAAATCCTAAAGTTGAGCGGTTTAATGAGTTTGGCTTCGCTCGCTACCGCGCGTGTCAAAGTACATAGGCGGTAACAAAAATGAGCACAGCCGGGCCCTTGTGTTGAACAGCACTCATGCTTTTGATGAATCTGAGAGATGTTATCAACGAAGGTGACTATACTGCTGGTGATAAAGCAATTATTTACGGGAGCTCGTCAGTCCCCACAAACATCCATCATTTCCGGAAACTAACATGGTCTAGCGGCGCCGATAGCTCCGAGGTAAATATACCTTTGTTGAAAGTTGCACGATAGTTGTTTACGCTATCAGGACTATGCATGGACAACTATCATGCTTTGGATGTTGAGATATTCTAGCGGTTGCAATTCTTACGTCCATTCTTACGTCTATGGCATTGAAAGAGAAGCACCAACACCCATTATGCACAAACACCGACCATCCCAGAAAGCTCGGAAGATTAGCGGTCTAAGCAATCTCGATGGCAACGACGAAATCGCAAACTAAATGGATTTTGTCGCCATCTAGGCATCTAGAACAACTTTAGCGGCTCTTCATTTTTAATCTAGTCAATTCTTATCAGCCCTCATCAGTTGTATCATTTCTGTTCCCCTACCGAATTCGTTCTCGATCCACTCGCTGTATCATATCTTGAAATCAACTCCTGACGACCTCTGGTACCCGCGCTATGAATTCCGTGACAAACACGCACAGACCTACACACGCACATACACCCATACACACATACACACACATACACACATACACACACATACACACACACACTTAGCGAATTATATATAGTAGGATCATTAAATTAATAATTTCGTTAAGGGACGCCCAAAATAGCTCAAGTATGGCCAACGACACTGGCGCACGAAACAATGAAAGACCTTTATCATGCTGATGAACACTTCCTCAAGTTTTTCCAGAGGAATCGTGCAATCATCGATCGCTCGTTCGTGTTCTTTGTGGGTGATCACGGACCGCGAAGAGAGGGTGTGAGACTGGATTTTTGACTATATTACATTCCTTATTTACTGCCTCCTTTTTATTCCACTTTTTTTATACCTGAGGGTCCAAACATAGTAGAATGAGGCCGTAAACACTGTAGATTGATATCGGTGTTTGAATAGAAAGGGGTGAAACTTCATTATGGGGGCAACTCCCTGTTATCTTATCCGCAGTACTAGAGAGCACGCCTTTGGTCTTCAACCCTATGGGTAAGAATAGGTGAACAACTTTCCACTCTTTCCACTACTTGACTTTTTCACACTCACCATTTTACTCTTGCGCTCAAATTTGTTACGTTTCAGATAGGCAAGGTTGCGCTCGGTCGGTATGAAAATCTCAATCCATTTCTCATCGTTACTATTCCGTCGTCATACCGCAATACTACATTGCACCAGCAAGTGCGGCAGAAAAAATTGAAGCTAATGACACATTTTGACATTCACGCTACGCTTATGGATATATTGAAGGTTTGCAAATGATTTCATGATCTGAATTCATTGATGACAGTATAAGGTGGTGTCAACATTTGCGACCAATCGCTAGCGACTCGAGGGGTACGAGAGGTGCACCAGCAATTTAGTGTTGCGCCAACGAATTGTGGCTAGCCTCCTATAGATTAATCGTGACGGGTTCTAACGTAGGTGTCGGGCTTACGATCAATCGCTCGCATCGTTAGAACCGCAGGCGCATCGCTATTACTCTGCGACCATTTTCTGCAATACGCTAGCGATTGACCGAAATGTCTGACACCTGCCTTAAAGGCAGCGATCACGTGAAGTTCAAGAAGGGTTTTTGTGACGTGGTGGTGCTCAATGGTACGCCAGTGGCGAAAAAGCAGAAAAATCCGTCAAGAAAACGCAAAACGGACCCCTTTTTTGGCCGTTGGTTTTCACTCATGAACAGGTAACAGCTCAGAAAGTGGAGTTATGAACGAGTTCACCGCAACGCGTTTGATGGCACCATGCCAAACACGCTTTAATCGAGATGCTCCATTTGCGCCGCTGCTGGCCACGCAGCTCGTCCAAATCAACAAGTAAACTAGTGGGCGGATCGCTTTTGGGGGCGGAGTGCTTTCGAAGTCCTGCTCAGCAACCAGCGCACCTTTCGTCGTGAAAGCGCCACATTCGCTTCCTTGGCAGCCAAGTAACTGCTTCGTGTGGTGCATATGCTTCCCCGATGCGCTCCCTCTTTATCGTAATCGCTTCCTTTAACATCCGGCAAGCTCCCATTATCATAACCCACCTGAAGGTAGGAATCTACCGGAATGTAGTTGTGATCCTGGGTAAGGCTGTGCTAGGGCAATACGGTGAAATCTAATTAACACGTTGACGACATCGCGTGTTTTGGCATTTTGCACCGCGTGGGACAGGAGCGATTTTGCGAGCGCGCCGTCCTCACCTTACTTCCGCTTATTTTTTGTTTAAAATGCACAACAACTTGAATCTCATAGAATTATTTCGGCAAGGATGAAATAAAGGTTAACTATATAAATAGCAGTAGATTTTTGTTTAGAAGAACGCATAATGACCACGAAGAAGCAAAAAACATCACTTTCGCTGCGAATGAAATTAAAAGCATTTATACCTAAGTTCTTCCATCAAATACAAATATCTTGAAACTCACAGAGTTTTGTATTAACTGCTTCTACAATCTTTCATATGAATGTTTACGACAGTGAAAGGAATACTAGGAAAGAATTGAAATGAAAGTTTTGTGCGTTCAGAAAATCTTTGCTAAATCAAGGGATATTTGACCACTCTGGCTGCCATGTGGTTTATAGTTATGCTAATGTATTATCTATAGAATGAATACAAAAACTCGAGAAGAAGGAGCGCAAGCACAATAAAAATGAATGGCATAGTTCTGACGCGCATGCGCGTCAGCCTATGTCATTCATAGAAGGCGGTATTACAGTTTTACACACTTTCTTATGACCCCTTGTAGGGCTCTTAAGAGTGTATGCCCATAAAGGCACAACAGTGTGTGCCCTACGTGAATATCAAGAGTGAAATATCGGATATGAGTTGGGTCAAAATCACATCACCAGAGATCTAAACAAAAACTGATTTCGTTTAAGTAGTACTACAGTGCGCTGCAAAAATTGTGAGCATCTGAGCTTCTGAATGATCAAAATTTCATCCCATTATTTGTCCATACTTTGAGACATCTTTTTTTAGTTCCTGAGCCACTGCAAAACCACAATTCACTTCGGAAATTACCCCCAATCTTGAAAATTTCGGTGTAATATGACTGCCTGATAAATAAGGCGGGTTTGATGTCTGGAGAGCCCTTATATTCATGGGTAGGGAACACTTGCTCTCTTCTGTAAAAAAAAAGCAAAACTATGGCGCTACACTCGTCTGGTAACTCGATTTTGAACATTGTCATTATACATTTACCAGTTTAGCTCCGCCCGCTACCGCGCGCATGACACGGAAGCCTTTGATAGAACTGACAATCGGTGAAGCTTTAGGTTTCACCGCTTAACTATAGCTGCTTCGTTAAATGCATTACTGTCCGTTGCATAGGCTGCATCTTGGCTGTATCTCACTGTTTGATAAGCGCAGTGAAGTGCACAGCTAAAGTGATGATGTAAACAACCACTATGCGTCGAGTATCGAGGTAATTTAGCGGTCGAATATCTCAAAACGGAATGCCCAGTATTCATTATCATATTTATTCGAGCATCCCATTCATCCTCAAGAACTCTAGAAGGTGTAGCGGTCGAAAGGTGTTTGAGTTTACAATTACAACGCTAATGAAATGATATTGAAATGAAATGCATTATCTGCAATCTGGTTTCGAGTATCTCTACGTTCGTACGCATATCGTACTTATCAGTCCTCATCAGTCGTTATCACTTTTTGACCCCCACCAAATATGTTCCCGTCCCACCCCTATATCATGTCCCAAAATCAGCTCCTGACGACTGCTGCGAAGCGCACTATGAATTTCGTGAAATTTGTGTTTCAGCGCCTCTTATCTGCTCTTATCAGTCGTTATCACACGGATCTCTTTCACTGAGGGTCCTCTCTCACTGAAAGATCTCGAGCCGGTTGGTGGCGAGGCTACGTGGCGCGACCGTTTTTTTTCTTATTTATTCGTTTCCTGATATTTTGTCGTCTGAAATCTAAAGTAGGAAGCTCTTGCTTGATCTGGGCTGGATCGCACTCTCCATTCTTTATTCTTTGCTTAGAATCTCCGATCGTTACTTCTGATTGCGAGTTAAGGGTACTTTGCTACCGTCCCTGATTTCGTATAAGGTTTAGCTTCGTATGTATGAGGCGGACAGATCTTATTTGAAAAAGTTATCCTTGAACAGATGAGAAAATCAACCAGGCGTACATTCCTAACTTAGTCACGACTTCTTCTTGAAATTCTACTAGTTTTTCAATGTCTCGGCTGTAAAAAAATTTCGACCTAGATCTCAGGTAATGGTGCTCGACCGTCGAGTTCTTGTTGAAAAACCAGGCCTGGAAAAGGAACGACGCGACTTGTTGGGAATAATAGTGTAATGTTAAGAAGAGGTCATGTGTAAGTAGAAGGGCACATCATTGATTGGTTTCTTCCAAGGGAAAATAAGTTCGTGATAGTATGTCGGTTGAGTTTGCCAATTTTTGTCGCTGACTCCCATTTGGCAGGCCTACATTTGAAAACTGAGGAGCATAGTGGAAGTGAACATAGCATTTTGTAGAGCAGACAATTCTCTTTCCGAATGTATATAACACGATGTAAAAGCATGGAGATTTAGATAAAAATTTTTTGGATGAAAAAAAGCGACACTATTTATGAGACAAACGGATAGTTGAATAGATAGACAATGAAGCGAAAAACAATTATCGTGAAAAATTCCAAAATCGGCATGCTCGTGTCTATATTAGAGACAAAATGTAATGCTAGACCGCAGAAGGATTTTTTTTGAAAGGTGGGAAAGACTTTTCCTCACTTTTTTCGATTTTTCTCACTTTTTCTCTTCCTGCCGCCCCTAGCTAGCCGATTCGCGATTGATTGTTCAATATACTCTTTTAATTGTGGTTTGTTCTATTCAGTTTTTGTGGCTCTGTTTGTTTACTTTTTTGTCTACCGAGCTAATATTGTCGCAGTCTCGCTGTTCTCATCATCGCCTGCCTATAGCGCGCCTTTGGACGCAGAGCAAATAATAATAAATAAATAAATAGAGACAGGTTAACGATGGGACAGAAAACTCGTGTGGTTGAGGAGCCTTACAGCCGCAGTCACCTCCCATCACCGACGAAAGTTTGCAGAGGTAAGTAACCGATAATTACAAGTTTCTGATTCTACAAAGATATTCTATTCGTTCCAGGCTCGCAGTGTTCCCTGTTCACGAAATGACTTGCACTAATAAGCATTACCCAGCTCCTGTAACTGTGACTAAAGCAATAACCCCGATGAGGTGGTATTGAAGAATCTATCCCGTAGGTGGAACAGAGTAGCTCACGAGTATCACAGATATGCCGTTGTCGTGGCTCGGAAGTGCGCAACAATGGCGCTAGGGCTTACAATGTAGTCTGATGGCAACTTATCAGAGCTTATAGACGAGATGCTCGAGCAAGCAAGTTCAGGCAACTCGTCCGAACACGCCCCCACCTCCATTGAAGAAGTTACAGAGGGGTTCCTCTTTCAAGGGTTCGATCGACGGTTTGCTGTGCTTTTTTCATGTCAGGTCAGTTCGGCACCCACAATTTCATTACCGACCGCCATGACCCCACCAATTCAATCTAAGGTTGTTACTTTTGCTTCAAAGGTCTTTCGAGATGCTAATGTACTTATTGGAAAATAATAACCCCGTTTGGTCTATTAGCTCAAATATAGACAACTCATTTATTAGTTTCTAGAGTTCTGAGCGCTTGAGAGCTACCTAGTGCAGTAGTGTATTGCTGTAGATCCTTTGCTTGAACTCACCGAAAAGAGGCCGTTTGATGGACTCAAGATAACTACCACTTCGTAGAGTATATTGCCGTAATCTTGTAGCTGTTTGATTGACGATGTCTGGAACAGCTGCATGATTTTAACCAAGCAAGTTTTTCATTGGATTTAGAAAGGCACAGGGAAATCTCTGAAATGGGGGTCATCATGTGCGATATCCATTTCTTCATGAGTTATGGCAAGGCGGCGGTTGCGACGGACTGACTGCGTCGCAAGTCGTCGATGAACAAAAATTAGTAGCAGTGTTGTATCCTTATGAAGCGCTGGTTGGATAAAAAGCTTCCCGGGAGAATTGAAAAATGAAATTACCAAGAGACTCCTATGAATCGAAAAACCTAGCCTCAATGATTTCTAATGAAGGATCAGTTCGCTGGCGCATCCTGAGCAGATATCATAGTAGACTCAGTTCCTACACTTCTGTTTTCAGGATTATTTGCCAGAATACTATAGAGAAAATTGTTTACTAATTTTAAAGAAAAATGATGTACATAAAAGTGCAAACCCGATTGTAAAACTGCTTCCTGACACTTGC